ATATATATATATATATATATATATATATATATATATATATATATAATTAATAGAAGAATTAAATAATTATATTTAATTGTTGACACTTCACAATGTCTATAAAGTAAAGAATGCGATAAGATGAATTAAATAATTTATATAATTTAGAGTTGTTGTTACAAAACTTTTATGGATAAACTTCTTGTTAGCCAATTTGCTCTTGTAGTTATAAATAATTCTATCGTATTGATAAAATCAATAATCATACATATATTTCTTATAGTGCTACACAATTAACGTCGATATAAATATTTTCATTTTTATATAAAAATTGCACAGTGCAAATTCGCCATTTCATAAGAACATATAAACACAATTTGATATCGGTAGAATTGTCGTTATATTTACTACAATCTTCGAGTGTTTCAAGAATCGAAACAGCTATTCGATATTTAATAACCGATTTCATGAAAACAGTTTTTATGTTGGGCTACTACGTAAATTTTTTCAGTAAAAAGATTAAATTTTCACTAGGTTGAAATAATTAGATTAATTATACTTTTTTTTTAAATATTTTATGGAAAGAAATTTTATTCTTTGAGTATCAACTGCATATCAAATAAATTTTCTCATTCGATTAATCGAAAGACTCACAATCGATTGAGAGGTTAATCTAGTTTGTTGTTATATCTTACTTCAGTTCATAACATACATATTGTTTATACAGAGTGAGTACTGGCAAAAATAATATTTGAATTAATTATATAAAATGGACCTCAGCAAAAATTCTAAAGAAAAAGTTTTTACAGTGAAACGAAAAATTTATAAAGAGTACAGTTATTTTGGTAGTAGTTCATCAATACCAACAAGAACCAAGCAATATTGGGCAGCAAAAAAAAAAAAGTAAATTCAATATTTTTATACATTTACTTTCAAATTTAATTTTTGTATATAATTTATCTGCTTCACGTTCTAAATAAAAATTAATGGAAAATCGTTTTTTTTTTTTAGCCGGTGTGAAAATAATGATCATTGTGACGTTTCCATTTCTACTGTATCACTGAATCGGAGCTCAAACGAGGTTAGATAGTGTTCAATATCACATTTTTTATTATACTGAAATTAGCGCACATCTGAGAATTTTAAGAATTTTTCTTAACATGAATAAATTATTAAAAAAAAAATTTCATTAGTAGAAATTGCCCAAAATGTTATGATACTGTAATCAGCAGACATCTGAGAATTTTAATGATTTTTATTAGAAATGGGTTATGAAAAAAAAAAATATTTTAAAAACATTTGCACTTGTGAATTTTTTTTTATTTCTAGAGGTGAAATTTTCCATCAAAATTTTTTATAATCATTTAAAAGTAAATTATTATAAGAATCTAAAAAATGTATTTAAAATACTATTTAAAATGAACATTAAATTATTTATACATGTATTTTATTTTAAATAAATATAAAATTCGTTTAAAACAAAATTTATAAGAATCTAAAAAATTCACGGATGTCTTTTAATTTCAGTATCATAAAACTTTTGGTGTCAAATTTCTCAATATTTTTTTTTTTGTAATTTATTCAATAAATGAACCTAAAAAAAATGAGATGCGTGCTGATTTCAATGTCATCATTTTTTGTATGTAGACTTTATCAAAATCAGATTTTCTTATTATTAATGAGTAATTGTTTTTCAGTCCTCCAATGGTAGTGTGATTCAAGACATAGAAGATAATGATGAATGTACAACTAATACTCCAAATTGCTTCACTTCACTCAATAATGATGAAGAGGCAGCTAGTTCGAATGAAATATCTGTTCAGCAAAATAATAACTTGGTTGAAGAGCAGAATTTGTCTGTAAACCAATATACATTTTTCCTTCCTTCTACAAGACCAAACTGTAATACAATCATCGTTGACAACAGTTCATATTCTACTGATGATTTAATTGCAGCATTGACTTTTTTATCTGTAAAATTACGTCATAAGTTGACATATTCTGCAACTGAAGATTTTGTACGCGGGATGTCAATTTTAAACGATTTGTTAGTCGTAAAAGCATCCAAATACCATTGGAAAAATATCGTGAATGTTTTCTCTGATCCCGTAACGATCCATCATCTTTGTCCTGAGTGTGAATTATATTTGGGAGAACAAAAGAAAAAAATAGCTGATGATATTAATCGAGAGGCTGAAGTCTTAATAGAAGACTTTCATGACCCGATTGAAGATGAATACGACACAATTCATTGTGACAGCTGTGATAAAGACATCGACAGAAAATTGAATATTTCATCTGGACATAGTTTTTTATACTTTTCTTTAAAATATCAACTTGAACAATTGTTCGAAAATTCAAATGTTCATTGTCAACTACAACAGCATAGAGAAAAAATGAAGAAGCATGCTTTCGAAGACATCCAAGATGGCAAGGAATACAAAAAAAGGATTGAAAGTGATATGATAAGTATTACTTTTAACACTGACGGTGTTCCTGTGTTTGATAGCTCTAATTGTAGTGCATATCCTATATTATGTTCTATCAACGAATTACAGCCATTGAAAAGGAAGAAACATGTGCTTCTCGCAGGACTTTGGGTCGGAACTGGAAGCCCAAATTCTCTTCAAGAGTTTTTCAAGCCTTTTGTCTCCGAAGCTGAAGATTTATATCAGAAAGGATTTGAATATATTGTTGGAGGTAAAAAATTTGTAAGAAAATGTTCTGCTCTTTTGAGTGTAAACGACGCTCTAGTTCGCCCGAAACTTCGTAATTCAATGCAATTTAACGAGGAATATGGATGCGGATTATGTCTTAATCCTGGAAAAAGAATTGAAAAAGGACTAGGTAACGTGCGGATCTATCCAATTGAGTCAAGTAATGCTTATGGTGAGGTTTTAAGAACCAATACTGCGACAATTAAACACGCAGAATCAAAAGAGAAAGGTATGAAAGGCGAATCAATATTATCGAAAATACCAAGATTTGATATAATACTCGGCATTGATGTGGATTGGATGCACTGTGTTGCACTAGGAGTTTGTCGTCAATTTGCAAAGCTATGGTTTGATTCTGTAAACCATGAAAAAGATTTTTACTTGGGCTTATCTATTGGAAAAGTTGACAAAATTCTTTTGTCTTACAAACCAACTATGGACATATCAAGAACTATTCATGAAATAAGTGACCGTTCTCACTGGAAAGCTCACGAGTGGGTTGCTTTTTTACTATTTTATAGTCTTCCAATATTAAAAGCTGTTGCCAAAAAAAAAGTATGTTGACCACTGGGCACTTCTAGTCGATGGTATTTCACTTTTATTACAAACATCTATTATGCCATCCGATATTTATTATGCTTATAATTGTTTGATTGATTTTATAATTGGCGTGAAAGATTTGTATGGAGAACAAGAATTAACTTTCAATGTCCATTCACTCGCTCATCTGGCTTGAAGTGTTGAAAATTGGGGTCCGCTCTGGGGACATGGAGCTTTTATTTTTGAAAATTTTAATCAAGAAATTTTAGCTGCAGTGCAAAGTTCTAATGGAGTACCTCATCAAATTTATGACATGTTCCGTACAAAATGTGTTTTAACTAAACTAAGAAAAACACTTACCAAAGATCTGACTTACTCGCAGAAAGAATTCATAGACGAGCTTTTAGGTATTAAAAGTCGCTTGAAATATCAACAAGTTATTGACAACGTTAAATTATTAGGTGAGCCTGATGTTCATAAATTAACTCAAGAGCAATATCTTGCTTTTCAACGACGACATATATTTCTAGATAGGAAAGTAGTTGTGCAACATTATGATCGAGCTGTAGTAAACCGCCAAGTTTTACACAGTAATCGTTACGAAAAATGTCAGAAGAGGAATAATCGTTGCGTTAGACTGATAAATAATGAAGTATTCCAAATTGAATCGTTTATAGTATTTGAATTAAATGATGAAACACATTGCTATGCAATTGGTTGGTATTTCCAAAAGTGTCAGCAACCAATAATTGCTGGAAGAAGACTAAAACATATGCTTATGGTAGAAAGAGGAATTAATTGTTTGGGAGTAGCTTATCCAAGTGAAATTATTGAACGAGTTACAATACTTCCAATTGAAAATTCATCAAACTATGTGGCGTGCATACATCCTAATCGATTTGATGTACTAAATTAATTAAATAATTTCAATTATTTGTATAGATGTTTCAAAATAAAAAAATTGTAATTTAGAAGAACATAAAACTTATTCAAATCGCATAAAAAACTTTTTGTGCTTCCGAATTATTTCCATGCCTATCTGATAGCTGTTGAAAAAAAATTAGTTTAATTATTATTTAGCGTTACCAATTTAATTCACGACATTTTCGTAGACATCTTTTCGATCATTAATTATTGGAAAATTATTATATTTTATCATAAATTGAAGAAATTTCATGATAATCTTTGGTATGTGTGTTGATTGCTCAATCTACGCTTTTTTTTACTATTTTAACAGCCTATGTTATTGTAAACTTACAATAGAACATTTACAACAATATCATTTATAAGTATCAAAATATCTACAATAAATGTTGATACATTTTCTTAATATACATTCTTACATAATAGATATATATTTTCATGTGCATGTATACGTGTATATATATGTAGGATTTCTACAAAGGAGCTGGCCTTAAACCACTTAAATTAAACTATTTGTAAATAGTTTAGGTATTTTTTAAATAAATTTTGAAAATAATAGTGCTGTTATAGGATCAATTACAAATAATTTAATGGACACATGTGACTAAAAAAATTTATAAAACCAAAAAACTATTAAAAACTCCTCCAAAAACTTGACACATAAAAAATTGACTACTAAAAAATATATAAAACCAAAATGCACTAATTCTTGTCTCGACCTTTTTAGATGATACTAAATTAAATTATAAAAATTTCTTTAAAAATAATTATATACTCGTCACAAAATTTTTTTTCTCTCAATTATTTAAATTACAAATAACTATCGCTAAAAAATATAAAACCCAATTTACGATAAAGACATACCCGTTACTAAATTTTTCTTAGGGCCAGTTTTTTAATCCAGGATAAAATTTTATCCAATGATAAAATATATCTATATATTTCATATATATAGATATACTGGCAATAATTATTTTATCCTGTATAAAATTTTATCTTGGATTGAAAAATTGGCCCTTAGTCTCTTAATCATATAAATTTATTTTTGGCATGTAATCACATTCACGTATACAAAACAAAATAAATAAATAAACAAATTTTGTTTATCGCTAAGTTCTAATCTATTTATAACTACTTCGAAAACCTATCATAATAAATAAAATATTTTAGAAAAGCATACGAAACATTGAAAAGGCACAAATTCCAGTTTGACCTTTCCAACGGTACCAAACTTAACCATAAAAACCTATTTTATCAAATAAATACACTGGCCACAAGATTTCGCTTATTCTCTTAATAATATAGATGATTAAATATTAACGGAGTACTTGTTAATCGAAGAATTAATGTAAATAAAAGAATAAAGAGAGGGATGCGCCGCTGTTCACCGATTGAGACTGTACATGTCATGTATAAGTATGTATCGAGAGCTCGCAGGCCACGACAGTACACGAATTTTAACGTAGTCACCCGATGAAGCCAAAAAGCCAAGCCTTGTCGTAGCTGTTACTACATATATGCCTAGATATATGTCTACATATATGTCTAGATATATGCTTACATACATGTCTAGATAAATGCCTGCATATATGTCAGCATATATGTGAAAAATATATATTGACATATTTTTTTTTTGCGTAAATATATGCGGCATATATATTATATATGCGACATATATTTTTGACATATATATTTCTCCATGCGGGTCTCTAAGCTCATCAATAATTGACATGATTTCATTCGTGTGACTTGGATTTCCAGCAGCTTGAGACGCCATCAGCAGCCACAAACGATCAACTAGTTCATTTGGATCATCCCAGTATACGTAGTCCATAGGTGTCTTGGTGGTAATCATAAATTTTGGTAGTCCTCTACCGTGCTTTTTAACAAAATCAGCAATATATTTCTTATACTTGTCTGTTGAATCTCTGTAAATACTTTTACGTGGATCATAACTTCTCCTATGAGTATTTGTTCTCTGGATAATTTCCAAATATTTTGTCTTATCATCTTGCGTGACAAGCGTATCTTTCGGTGTTTTTGTAAACAATAATTCCACCAACCCAGGAGATATTGGATAACTTCTTTCTTTGACAGTTATTGTATAGTTTGCAAATGAAATATTTGAATCACCCATGTACATTCCACCATGTTTTTTGCGTACACCATATTTCATGTCATTATTTTTGTGTTTTGAACTTAAACGTTGTAAATAATTAGTGAGAAGAGGATTTTTAGGCTTTGGAGTACTTGTTGATGACGGTAATTGAGTTATAGCAAATGATGATGTGTTGTTCAATGAACTTTCATCATCCGTTATTAAACTGTTGAATACTTCTGGATCATCATATGAAGATTTTTCAACTTTTTGTTTTTCAACCTGTGACTTTTCTTCTTCTTCTTTTTTAATATTTTCTCCTTTACGCTTTGAAGATTCAACTATACTCTGAAGTGGTGTGACAATAGGTTTGAACATTTCCTCCATGGCTTTTTCAGCTGTATCTTTACCCAACTTCAACATCTTATGCTTCCGTCGGATAGCATCGCTGGCTTGAGACATCCGATGCAGAATATCTTTCTGCTTTAAAATTTCTTCAGGCTTCATGTTGGTAGGTTAAAGTCTACAGCATGTGTGACTATCACACTTTAAAGTACCTTAATTTATACTAATGAAGCAGTCGAATCCTTTTCGATACCTGCCACTATTCAATTCACTGTCTTTATTTATTACCACAAATCCATATTTATTCCAGCATGCTGAGCATAAATCTCTGAATGAGTTGTATGACATGTCTGTATTGACATGATCATCATAAATATGCTTCAAATTTATTTCATCTTGACGGAACAGAACGAGAAAGTTTGCGTTATCTCTAATCAGATGTTTCGGTATTCGTGTATAAGTTTGACAGAGATAAAAGCTATCAACATCCTTGTGTCGACCCATACAGAAAAAAGCCTTGATGTGATCTTGTTTTTCACAAGCAACATCGTCAAATATCATCAGGGAGATAGGCTTAGCATCGTCAGGCTTGATTACAGCCTCATGTTTGCTGAACGTGAAGAATCCAATACCATCAATCTGTTTAAGCAGTGTCTCTAAAAACTGATACTTTGGTTGGTTAAGAGACTTTGAGTATAGATATGTATTCTCAAACCTCAAACCGTTTGGATGTACAATAGGAGACAGCAGAGCATTCGTTTTTTCACAGTTTGATGGTCCTCAAAATACAGCGCGTACACTGTTTGGAAGTAGATCACCATGTCGTTTGATTTTTTTCACTCCTGTCCCTTGAACAATTTGATCAAAGTTGATAACTGGTAACTGAGCTCTTGGTTTGTTAAACTCTATGACTGCTCAATTAATTCTGAGGCTCATAGGTATAAATACAGGCTTATATAGATCACCAAGTTAGTCTTTGATGTGTCATGTCTGAGAGCAGACTTGGTAAAGGTGTTGTCAACCACATAATCAATAAGCTTCCACTTGAACTTCACATACCAGGATATCAGTACTGTGTTTCAGGTACAAAGTTAGCCAAGAGGTTAGCTCGAGGTGATCCAGGTATAAATCCTTTGGACGCTGCGTGTAAGGAACACAATATAGCTTACTCAAAAAATCATGAAAATTTGGAAGCCCGTCACAAGGCTGATAAAATCCTTGCTGAGAAAGCGTGGCAACGATTTCAAGCAAGAGACGCTGTTATTAATGAAAAAGCTGCTGCTTGGAGTGTGAATAAAATCATGAAGTTGAAAAGACGTTTCGGTATGGGTCTTAAAAAAGAAAAACCTATTACTAACCGTAAAACAATTAAGAGAAAAACAACGAAGCGTAAAACAGTTGTTAAAAGAAAGACAACGAAGAGAAAAACATCGAAGCGAAAAACAAAGCGTAAGATGACCAAACGCAAGACAGCCAAAAGAAAGACAATTAAGCTTAAGACTTCCAAGAAGAAGAAGAAGAAGAAGGATGTTGCTTTGAGACAGATTGTTGATGAAGCTAAAAAGTCCATGCAACCTGGTGGAGACCCAGTTAAAACAGCTCTTGAAGGTGCTCGCAAGGCTGTCAAGAAGGCTGGTGGGAAGAAAAACGTTCGATTGCCTCGTATTCTACCAGTTCCGTCCAAGATTGGCGGAGTACTTCCATTCTTGATTCCCCTGTTTGCAGGGTTATCAGCGGTTGGTGCTCTGGCAGGTGGAGCTGCAGGTGTTACAAAAGCTGTAAATGATGCAAGTGCAGCTAAAAATCAACTTGTTGAAGAGAAACGTCACAACTTGAAGATGGAGAAATAGCTGTAGGTAGAGGATTATACCTCAAACCTTACCACAGTGGTATGGGACTTTATCTGAAACCATACCCTGAGGGGGCTGGTTGCAAGAAGTCAAAAAACCAGTAGAGCTACCACATCGAGCACTGACTAACATCGATTTATTGAAGTATGCTAAGCTGTTGAAAATTCCAAATTTTCGAGTATTCATGAGAAATGATTTACCAAAATCTGGACCCAAAACAAATGAATCGGCAATAATAAAGTTAGATGATAAACTTGGACCTGGAACTCACTGGGTTGCATACAAGAAAAATCATGATCAAGTAATCTATTTTGACAATTTTGGTAATCTACAACCTCCACAAGACTTGATGAAATATCTCGATGTTGGTAGCGTAATGTACAATCATAAAAGATATCAAGAATTTGATACAATCATATGTGGACATTTATGTCTTAAATTTCTGGCTGGACAACTATAAATTGAAGTGACTCGAGACTACAAGTATCAGTCATGGCAGAGTCATTCACCTTGACACTATCCGGATACTCCTCCATATTGGAGGCAAATTATTTTCCACTGATTAAGTAATCACCACCAAAAAGTTATGTACTTGGACTTGTTAAGCTCCTGACATTCAATTCAATACCAAATATCGATGTTGATGCTAATAAGTTTTATGTGTCATCAAAAAGATCCAAGAGAAGCATAGTCAAGAGATTTGATGAAATAACTATACCAACAGGGAGTTATGAAATCAAAGATATTGAAACTTATATAAACAAGACATTACCTGAACTGAGTTTCACCTTAAAAGCAAACAACAATGAGTATAAGAGTGAAATAAAATGTGATCAGTGCATAAATTTTGAACCTGAAGATCCCATTGGCTCATTACTTGGATTTACCAAACGTGTGCTTGAACCTAACACAGC